CGAGTCCTTTCCACTCCACCTGTCTTTCCTTTTGCCTGAGCAACCCCTAAAACCCTAAACCCTGAAACCTCGTACTTTGTATCAGCTCCGGGATATCATCCTTACTGCTGGCCCTGTATCTTGTTGCAATCTCCTTCCCGCGGCATCTCGTCTCCTTGCAATTATGTCGTTTGTTACCTGACCCGTGACTTCCTTAACCCATCCCTATGTCTACCATTTCCCTTCTTTCCCTCCCTAGGTTTGTCCCTCTTTTCCTCCGTTCACTCTCTTATTCCTTGGTTGAGAGCTTCATTGTGTCCACCGAGCACCGACCTCCGTCTTTCCTTTGATTCCATCTTTGTCCATGTTCCCTAACCCTGCTCCATGTTCAGAAACCCCCTTGCTCGTATTCATTATCGGTCTGTAACCAGATCCCCCTTGTTGTGTGCCTGACCCGAGGACGGAGCTGTTTCAGTTAGGACTCTGTCTCTGAGGTTCCATGCTTGGGTTCTGTGCTCCGCTGTTCCAGATTCCTTCTTGAAGCAGAGTTGTGCCATTCCTTCCAGCATATGCGGTCATCCCGCATCTCTGCAATTTCCCCCCCTACTAACCACGTCTTGATGAACTTGCTTCTAGCGTTCTTCCGCTGCTCTTCATCTTCTGTCCATGTACTCTTGATCCTCTTCCATTTGCATAAAATCTCTGCCTGTATCAAAACCTTTGTCTCCGCCCAGACTCTCTCCCGTGCGTTTGAAACTCCCTCGATCGTTCTGCTGCATCTTTCCTTCCATATGACCCATAGGGAGGTCTTCCTGATAAGCTCATACCAGATCCTTTCTGCTTTTCGTAGCCATTTGGGGATGTCAATCAGAAGGAGGAGTTGGACAGGTTTCTCAGGGAATGGGGAAGTGAAGAGGGAATCCCAAAGGGTGGATGCTCTCGCCCAGTAGTCTGTTGCTTCTTTGCAGTATATTAGGCAGTGTACTATATCCTCTACTGCATTATCTGTGCACACCTTACAAAGGTCAGAACTATCCGGTGCAAAATCTTTCCTCGTGATATGCAACCACTGATTGACTGGTAACGCTGCGTAAGTGACTAACCACTGAAGGCTTCTGATTTTGACTGGTCTGATCATTTTGTATGCTTTCCACGGGATCTTCGTAATTTTATCCGCCACTTGGCCTAATAACTTTAGCCATCTTGCTTTGA